AGAGCCCGCAGGCTGAAGCAGCGAAGTCACAGTGACTATGTTCAACCTTCATCCAGAGGCCACGGTCGGAGAAAAGCCTTCAGGGCTGCTCTTGAAGGAAGCCCTTTTCCACCACTGCAAAAAATGCTACTCTGCCATGTAATCTGTAAATCACAATTTTGGGATTTTGTCTTCAAATTTGGACTTATTAAAACAACATTTCTTGAGTTACTGAGTGTCAGGCTAACCCTAGTTTTGAGTTATTCGATTGAAATTTAAATGTAGTGTTAAAGACGAGCCTCCACAGATGTTAATGTTCTTCTGAGCCGCTGTAGGAACAGTTTGCGCTGTAAAAGGACATGCAGGCGTTTGCCCTGTGACATCATTGCAGGACATTTGCAAGTTAAGCCTGCAGCTTGTGCAGTTAAAGATTACATGTTGTCACCTCGTTCCAGACTTAACACACATTTCACAACTTCAAACTATTTTGTAACTAATTTCTGATCTTACCAGCTGCAGAACACCGAGCATCAACTGGGATGTTTCATCATTTAAGTTTTTAACCACGAATGCAGGCGTACAATAAAACAACAACTTATTTCTTACGACACAGGAATTTGTTCATGTGTCACTTTTAGAACATTTAATCCCAAAATAAATGAAAAAATGGTCTCGATGAGGTCGTCCAGGTAAGTCACCTGGATGACATCTTCAGTTTCAGCCGACTGCAGGTTTGTTCAGTCACCTGTGCAACAATCAAAACCACAGCATCACATGAGATCTGTCTCATGATGCAGACTGCCGTGACCTGTTTGTAAGGAGACCTGTGGTCAGCACAGACTCAAGAAAGTCACCTGGATGAATGAAAAATAGATTTTGCTGTTGATTCTGTTTAATTTAATAAACATACCCACTGTTAGCTTGTTGTAATGAGCAGATAGCTCCGTAGGAAACATGTGGTTTATACCATATCTCTATTAATCTCATTAACACACTGATATCAGTTACAGTTTGATGCTTAAGGCTGCGTACGTTCACTCCAGGCTTAGTCTGTTGGTTTATTGGCTTCGGTGCATTTTAGGAAACTTTCATTCATCTGATAAACTCTCTGCTCTCAGACTAAAGGCGATGTCACAGCAAGAGCAATGGGAAAACCCCACTCCCTTCTTCTGGGAAAGCATAATAAAATTATAGTTATTTGAACTAATTGCATTACTTCAGAAATTCTGTCCTTAGATACACCAACAAAATTTCCATTTTATAAAGTTCTTATTAATTACCAAGGGAATAACAGCACGCCACTCATATCTGGAGGTTTGTTACATTTGACACTGAACAGGCGGCGCGCTCGAGAGGAGTGGAGTCACAGATCACGCGTCAAGCATCGCCAAACACTCACTCGGTTTTCGAGGGCTTCATAATCCACTTAACGCTAATTGGGTTGGAATGGCACTCCATGTGGCGGACGGTAGCTCAAAGGTAGCTCTTGTGCTGCCTACATGTGCTAACAACATCTGCTTTCAAAGGTCTCCTTCCAGTTTCTGCACAACATGAGGTTTGGATCAGAATGTTCTTCATTGGACTTTAAGGACTAACACGTTTATTTGAAGCTAGACAAACAGACACTTTACTCGATTCATCTAGAGCTGACAGTTGGTTCTTTGTGAAGAGAAATATTTTATCCTGAATAAGCCCCAAAAGTTGTTTTTCTAACAGTGAAACCAGAAGTGCCTTAAACTGTATTCTTTTTAATGGCCACCAGGGGGCCAATGAATTCTCGTCCTGTGGACCGTTAGCTAACCTAGTGGGCCGTGACGGTACTGCAGGTGTCATAGAAATTCAGTTTTAATTTACTTACAGTACAATTACATATTTATATAAATTTATGTGAAGTTGAAATGCAGGAGAAGTTTGTGTCCTAATGACAGATGGGTCACGTTAGCCTTAACACTTTGCATATAAACTGCCAATGCTAATGGGTAACATTAGCAGTTTATAGCCAACAGACTGATTTTGAATAAAATTGTCATGTAAATGCTTCACTCTCTCACGCTTTGATCAGAGTGCAGGTTTGAGGTTGGGATTTTCTGGTTTTGCAGCACTCCTGACTTTGGGAATCGCTGCTTTGGAGAAAAAGCTTTAACAGCTTTTTTTACGAAGTCATTGACTTCTGCAGAGTAAGACCGGTGACCTAAGCAGAGGCTTCAAACCATGTGCCAAGGTGGTTTCGCCCTTAACCCCCACTGATGGTAATGACCAGCGACTGTCAGGATCGACTCCAGACAGGTTAAATACCTCGGACTCTCCACCTCTTGTTTTAGAGCTGAAGAAGCTCCTTGGATGAGACGTGACACGTCTTTACAAACATAAAGACGTCACGCTGCCTTCTTTTCCCCAAACTTTAGGACTAGCAAAGACAAACAATGTCAGATTAAACCAGTTAGCTCCTGAACATCAGCATGAACAGCAGGTGAAGGAATTCACTGGTTTAAACTTTAGTTTGAACTTGAGCAAAAAGAACTAATAACAGGGATTGTTTATGAAGGCCTGAATGGAAACGTAACAGCTGGCTCTTCACTTCCAGGATGCTTACATCATCAGCGCCACCATCCATCCATCCCGAGGAAACAAAGAGCTACACAGTGTCCTAAAGCTCAATTTTAATTTCAACTTTATGTCATGCCTAAAGGTTAAATGCAAGGAGGACAAAGAGAAGTGGAACTGGTCAGCGAGCAGAAATGATTCAACTGAATCAGCACGTCGCTCCGATTCTGCACAAACCACCAAACACAGAGTCACAAAAGGATGAAAGAGCGAGAATCACATTTGCGTTATTGATGTCACGTGTCTCGTCTCCAGTCCTGTGATCAGTCAGTAAGATCATCCAAATGTTCAGATCCGGATCGTGTAGGAGTCCGAGTGGGTGACGTATCGGACCCAACGCTGCGAGGGGCCCGGCTGGATGGGCGACAGGCGCAGGAAGCGGATCTGCAGCCCCGTGGCGGTGATCTTCGGCAGCTCGAAGCTCAGACCCACCGGACCGACCTCCAACATCGAGGCCGAGCTGAGGCTGGGGACCTCCAGCTGAAAACAGGGGGGCAAAGGTGAGGGGTGGGGTTAGTTAATCATTTATATGTTCATGTGATAACTTGTCATCTTTCACACAAACTACAGGCAGCCGAGGTTTTCACCTGTCTGCAGATTCGCACAAACATTCACAAAACTCTCGGTAAATTCATATTTTTCCCTAGCGACCGGTGGTTGCCGGGCGGTCACTACCAGCCTTTAGGCCTGTGTGAGCAGCCAGCGTGACGGAAGCTAAACGTTCCCTCTATTAATATTTCTGTTTTCTAGGAACTTTTTAATCACATTGATGGTAATGAATCAGATTAGCGTGTTTTCACGGGACAGTCATGTGAACACGCCATACTCAGGCTTTTCCCAATTGGCCCGTCTGTTTCCTTCAAAGCACAAAACCTGAACTGTTTCTTAGGATTACACACATCACTGCACCGTCCTCCATCTTGATTTCAGTGATCACATGACCATTTTGCCTCTTGTTTGGAGGATGTCCTTTCAGACCTAACAGAGCGATCAGCCCGCTGTAACAGAGGGCGTGAAGCA